GTGGATACCTGAGTCACCATGTGGCTATTGTTTGTAGTTGTCTAGTTTGTTTCTTGAGTTTGATGAGAAATGACAGGTATGCTAGGTACCTATGTGTTAGTTATAGCATGTCCAGAATATGCAACATCTAGAAACTTTGAATTTTCTTGTAAAGGAAAGCAATTTTCATTGAACACTACATGCCTAGAGACAGATATTTCCTTTAGAAGATATACATTTGTAGCCTTTATGAATAGGAGAATAACCTATAAAAATGCACATTTCAAATCTATTATCCATCTATCACCCATATATTTTAGGAGATATATGTGTTTCAATTAGTTATAATAGTGTAGCCCTTTTAAATACTTTCATCCTCTTGTATTTTAAGGACAAAATAATAATCTGATTTCAACCTTCTATTCTTCCTTTCTTTTGTTGACCTGACATTTTACCAAGCAAAAACCAGTGTGAAATTCAAAGAATACTCTGTTATCTCTACAAAACTGAGACACACTAATAAGATTCTTAGTTATCTCAAGAACATGCGAGAGATTACCAAGTTTTAAAATAGTGGAATTATCGGACAAAATATTAGAATAACCAGTATGAGTTATGTTTATTGGCTTACCGTTACCCATGTGAATCTTATCAAATCCTATACATTATGATTTGTTGGAAAGATTTGCAATATCTGAAGTAAGATGATTGGTAGCTCTAGAATCCGGGTACCGACTATCATCATAAGCAAGATTTTCATTAGGGCATGTTAACATGGCTTGCATACTTGAGTTTGAAGTCTGCATCTGCTGATTATTGTTGTTGGGAGTCTGCTCAAGAAATTGTTGGTCAAAACGATGCCAACAATGAAAGGCTGAGTGGCCTATGTTTCCACAAACCTGACATTGAATTTTTGAGCCTCTTCCAAAACTGAAAGACCTTCCTCCAGTTTTTCCTCTCCCTCAATTTTGTCCTCTTCCAGGACCACCTCTTCCTTGATTATTTTGATTTCTTTTATTTTGATTATGAACTAATTTTGCCTGCATTGATACAGAGTCATTTCTTTTATACTTTTCTAATCTTTCTTTCAGTGCCATCAACAAAGCTTCAATCTGGGGCACAGAGTAGGGTTCTGTTCTTGACAGAATTGAGGTGATGAATGCATCGTATTCCTCTGACAATCATCGAATATAGCATCTATGTGTTCTTCGGTGGACAAAGGTGACCCTATCACAACAAGGGTATCTATGATCTTCTTGATCTCAAGGAGATATAGATGAACAGTAGTGGTTTTCTTCATTCCTTGCAATAGAATCTTCAATTGCTTGATACGCACTTTTGTATGTGAAGCGAAATAGGTTTGGAGGGTTTCCCATACTTGATAGGACCAATCACAACCCACAACCCTAACTTTGAATTGGGGTTCCATGGATTCAAGAATCCATGATTTCAGAAGGCTATCTTGAGCTTCGTAGTTTTCATACGCCTTTGTGATCTTTTTGGTGATCTTATCTCCTTTTTTCTCGAATTTCTTTGGAATCAATTTTGCACCAAGAATGTATTTCTTGAATCGAAACCTGTGATGGTTGCTTCAACTTGTTGATGCAATGTGAGAAAATTACCCTCACTAAGACGAGACGAAATGGGATTAGATAAGGTTTAGAGCACGAAAGTTGATATTGTGAAAGCCATGAATCTTTGTGCTCTGGATACCATGTAAAGAGAAATTACAACAAGAGAAAGGAAGAATAGAAGGCTGAAATCAGATTATTATTTTGTCCCTGGAATACAAGAGGATGGTATTTAAAAGGGCTACAATATTACAACTAATTGAAACACATATATCTCCTAACATATATGGGTGAGAAAATTAACTCTTAATTCATATTTGGCTCCCACTCGAAAGATATATTGTATCAATGTATCATAAGTTAAATTGGGGAATCATTAGTTGAATTATATGAATTGATATAATATATATATATATATATATATTATGTTTGTAAAATATAATAAAATTATATATATAGATTTGTCGTATATAAAGATAAAAATTCATTTTAAGGATGACAATGAGATAGGGTGAATACAGGTTTTATTATCTCCATTTCTATCTTCATTCTCATATTTTATACTCGTTCTCATACTTGACAATCTTATTCCCATACTCGTTGGGTATCAAATTTATGTATTCATCTTTGTCAAATATTGGATATACTCATATTTGTCTAAAAATTAATTAAATATTTTTTTAAAGAAAAAATAATCAATATAAAAATAATATTATATTAGTTAAATTTTATTTAACATAAATTTAAAATAGAATAAAAATTATATAAATATCAAATTTTTAAAAATTAAATTAAATTTTTAAAAATTTAAAATAAGTATAAAACATATAAACATATACCTATTTTCGTTCCCGTAGTTAATTTAATAAATCAAATATTACTCATCTTTATTCATGTACCCAATTTTATAAATCAGAGACTATCTATATCTACACTCATATCCAATTAAATTATATATTCTTTAAAACTGAAACGAAGTTCAAAATATTATTTATGAATAACCATTTACTTCTCAACCCTCATCCTCTTTCTGTAGTGAGATGGCAGGTTAAGCTCAAACATTATTGCCAGACACCTGCTAGCATCCTTTTTTGTGATGTTTTACTAAAAATTCAATGTCTAAATACGCAATCACGGATCGCAGCTCATAACATGAAATCATTTATACTACTTCAAATCAGTCCTTATTTAAAGAAATTAGTTGTTAATAAAAATATCATAAATATTTAATTATTTTTTAATTTTTATAGTTTTATGAACTTTAACTTTTAGTCTATATAATTAAAATATTTCATTTTAATCTTTAAATATGCTATTTTTGTTTTTTTTTTCCTTTATGTTATGTTTGGTATAGAAGAAAAAGAAGAGAAAAAAAAAAGGAAGATAAGAAATTAAAAAATAAAGTTGAAGTCGTCTAGTAGAGAAAAGAAGTAAAAAAGAAATGGAAGGAACATTAAGTTTTAGTTAATTAATATTAAATTAAATAAAAAAATCAAATGATAAATTCAAATATATCAAAAATAATTATTTTATTAAAAATAATTATTTTTATATTTTAAATTTTATATTTATATATATATATATATATATATATAAACATGATCGACGATGCTAAGAAATATACACGTAATAGACCAAGTTTTGCAGAAGTTATCGATTATGTTTATATATAATCCCTTCATTTTTGCGCATATCTGGTGTGGAGCCCACTTTATTTTACCAACATTTCTTCTCGAATCTACTACACCAAACATATCTTCACACACTTCCAAACTCTTGCTTCCCCCCTCCTCTCCTATTATTGCATTAAATGAAAGCTTAGTTCTACAATTACATAAACTTTTTTATTTTCGTCTTTATTAATATATATATATATTATATATATATATATATATATGACAAAGACTAGAAGGGAACAGAAAGTCAGAAATAATATGTATGATAACTAAAATGAAATATTTTTCACTATAAAATTAATCAGCAGATTCACGTTTAAGCAAGGTCAGGAGTTCGAATCCTATTTATGTATGCAACCTCGTTAAATCTTGGGGCCAGCTATCTCACCTTTTGAGGTGCCTTCAACGTAGCGAGAAGATTAATCACTGCTATCGACTGTAGATACTCCAAGACGAACCAAATTTTTTTTTATAAAATTATAAAGATTAAAAGAGTAACTAAACATATAAAATATTATAATGACATAGTCTCACAAATTCAGACTAAAATAAAAAGTTTATTATATATATTTTTATCTCTTTTTGCCACATCATTTTTCTTATAAAAATATAAATTTACTGTACAAGTAGTTTTTCTATGCAAAAGACAACAAAAGTAATGATTGAAATAAGTTGTTTTTTTTAGTAGATGAAGTAGAAGAAGACGGAAAATATGAAAGGGATTCAAAGTGTAGAAGATTATGTTTTTAATTTTAATTAAAGTAGAACTTCAACTCGTTGTTTATGTATAAAAAGGTTACATTTTACCTTTGGCCATGATATTTTTTGGCTGTACGTAAGCAGATGTGATCTGATTATATGTTCAAAATCATCACCATAACTCAAGTTAACAAAGCTTAATTTTTAATGTGATATTAGTGCAACATTGTTATAAAAAAGAAGCGTTATGTTTAGGGTTCTCACAATTCTAAGTATGATCTTTAACAAAACGAAAAACAAGTGTCATCGCTTTATGTTTGTTTGGGTCAAACTGAGTAAAACTTCATTTTATTTCATGTTAAAAAACAAGTCCTTCCATTTCGAATTTGTTGAGTTTGACCCTTTCATTATTTTTATTCTTCTTAATTTATTTAATTTTACGATTTTCCCAAAAAAAAACATATTTAAATACATGTAGTCTAACATATGATACTTGTACAGTTCTGCTGGTATGGTATCCGTGTAACATAGTAATCCACCTATTACAGATAGAAAGAGGGTGCACAGACTGACGTTTAGTTATGGATAGGAGTTGTTAACATACGACAAAATTATGGGGTGCTTATAAGATGATGGGTCAAGTCATGTTAATGAGCTTCAACACAACAGGGACATACAGCCCGTCTCATTAGTCAGACTACTCAAATGTATTTACTGCTGACCTATATAAGTTGTAGGGGTTTAATAATTTTTGTTTCTATAAGTTGCAAGGGCTTAATATTTCTTTTTAAGTACTTTTAGTTCCTTCATTTTTCTCCGTTACTAAAATAGTTCTCGCAGTTAACTTGATTGTTGATGTGAAAAAATTTGAAGTACTATTATTCTTGATATATATAAACTCCTGATTTCTTTTTTCATTTTAGTCTCTAATTTTTTTCAGTACTTTTAGTTACTACATTTTTAGGAACTGAAATCATAAAATCAAGATTTTTATAGGGAACAGATGTGTTTTTTAATTCTTTCTCATGGTCCTTTCTCTTCCAGTCCATCTATTGGACCAAACTCGCATAACTACTGGAAAAATAGGCTTTCATTATTTCTTTTTGTATGTAGTGATACTGAATAAATGTTATGTAGCGGTAGTATGACATACATTATATAGTAGCTTTCTGTTTACGTTACTGATGAATCAATGAGGATGATTCTCAAGGAAGATAGAACCGATTTGCAAGTAATTGAAGCTAAATAGCTGGTTACCAGTAACACGATGCCCTCGACGACTGTTTGGGTGAATAGAAGAGTATGATTTCTTCAATTTTTTTGAATTGGTGAAGACATTTCTTTGATAAGGTAACATATTTATCCTCAAACGCTTTCACAATTCTGAATGTCTAATTTCTTTTGCAGCCACCTACTAAAGCACCATTCAGGTGGAAGAATCAGACAAGATATCCAAAATACAGCCAAACCAAGAATGTGATGTAACAATTCATTCAAGAATTTCATCCTATAAGTAAATAATTAGGATACACCAAGCAGATGACAGGATTCACGCGTTCAATGCACCATACTGAGATAGCAAAACAGAAAAAAGAGAAGAAAACCTACTAACATAATTTTGAGCATGTTGTATTGTATACATAACATTATTGCATAGTCACTGACATTGACAGATTGGGCAGTTGAATACTTTAAATAATAAACTTCAAGACAATCCAGGTTACAGATACCAAAAGTGATTCAATTTAATCTTTCAAATTTCACTTACCTCGTATTCAACAAGGTTCAAGCACATGCTTGAGAATCACTGTCACCATTTTAATCATATCATCTTCCTTACACGAGGTCACAAAATTTACTGACAACAAAATCCTTGTTAGTTCCTCAATAACCCAATAACAGAAAATTAAACCCAGATTCTCTCTTAAGTCTTACCCCATGCAAGAACTGGAAATTCCCATTTCTGTTTTGGGACTGTTATTACATATGACACAACCTGCACAAGTATATTAAAACTTTGCATTAGTCAAAAACTTATATGAGATATTACTTGGAATATTGAAATAACAGGGGGATATTACTTGGAATATTGAAATAACAGGGGAATATCAACTTACCAAGATTGCTGCAGCAATGGAATGAGGAGACCTGAAAAGAACCGACATCTCCTCCTTTTCATAAAGAAGATCCATAATTTCCATGCAAGCTTCAATGCTAATCAATTCGCCAACTTTTGCCACTCCCCTGAACCCAATCATTTAAAAGTGCAAACCAATGAGAATTGAGAAGTCACAATTCAAGAAACAACCTTAAAATATAGAGATAGAAATATGACTCACACTCACTTGAACTGAACCCAAAGATCTTCGAGAAACAAAAAGGCAATATTTGTTGTGCCAATCTCAAAATCCAAAACCTGCGAAAATACCAAACGATATCAAGATCAACTGAATTCTTATATTTCATGATATTAATACCAATGCTTAAAAAAGGATTTAACTTAAATATAGTACCTTAGATGTTGGTACTCTTCTCTAATCAAAATGTTACTATATATGATTAGTCTCTTTTATTTAATAGAAAAATAGGAAATAGGTTCTAGAATAAGTTTGTTAAGACTTTCAGGAATCTGTTTTGGACTCTATTGCTTACAGTAGTATGCTATATATAATCATTGTATTGCTATAGTAGATAGAGGGAGGAGAATTAATTAAAGATTTTAGTTTCTATTTCCTTTCTTGCTTAAATTTTTAGGAGCTCTCCCTTGCTCATAAAGGGTTCATAACATAGAATTATGAGATAAAATTCCAATTGTGATTGAAAAACAGCATCATACTGTATCTATATTTTGTTCTTTAAAAAATGAGTCTGCAATCTCGATTATGGCCACAATGTAAGGATTTTTGGGGTCTGTGCAACCATAATTGCAACTGCATCAGCCACATTTGTCGGTCATGTTCCACGTTACCAAGGACCGCGACAAAAATCGGAACTACAATTTAAAATTTTGATTGATATTTGGGGTCCAAGTCAAGTTATACCTGCATGAAAAGCACCTCCTGCAGAACAATGACCTAAAACATGAGAGGAGAGAAAAGGAAAAAAGGTTTTGCGACGATGAGAAAAACACGATTGTGCGGCTTACTGCTTCGAGGAAATTTCGAGTCGTAAAGTGTTGTTCCTTGATGTTTTTATCAGCCAAGAACTTGAAACATGCAACGGAAAGTGGTTGAGAATCGTGTATCTGCATTGCAAAAGGTCAGAACCAAATTAGATATTACAAGACTAGCATCAGTCACTACATGACATGCATCAAAGTTTTTGATATCATATAGTGAGTGGTTAGAAATCATGAGTAGTTAATAATTTCCCCATTTAGAGAGGATTGAGATAGGAAAAGGAAGGAAGGGAAAATGAGAACCCACTTTGGTTGAAATCCATAGGGAAATAAGCACAAACAGGTGGAAGGTGCTCTCTGTGAGGGGACGCAATAGCCAGCTTGATGAATTTCCACCTTTTAGGAAGCTTGGTTTCGTAGGAGGCAGGGCATAAATGAATTGAGAAAACCAAAGAATGGAACGATATATATAGAAAAAGAGAGAGAGAGAGAAGTACGCACGGAGGTAGAGAGGGAAAGAAGCGATCAGCGAACAAGGACAATGCGGAGTACTTAACAATGGGGGGAACTTGGAGGTGCTACCATTAATCACACAAAACAAAACTATTGTAAGAGAAAATTAGAGAAGAAGAGAATTGAGAGAGATTAGTTAGTTTACTTGAGCACATTGGATGAGGAACTCAACCATGGGAAGCCGCTCAAACCAACATTCCATTCTTATGTTATGCCATTGCTCACTCGCCTCCATCTCATGCACCCAAACCCTACATAAACGCATTTGGATATTGGATTACGAGTAGAACATAATTTGGAACTTGCCTTTCATCCAGGTAATAAATTAGAAATGCTTTTAAAAGGGAAAAAAAAAAGTTGTTTTATAAATTAAAATTATTTTTTTTATAAATTAATTTGGAAAATTTTTATAATAATTTATTTAAAACTCATTTTTAACTTATATATTAAATTATTTTTAGCTTATAAAAAATTTCTAGGTATTTTTAAAAAAGTTTACTCAACCAAATGCTTAATCTATTATTTGTTATTTCTAAATTAAATTTTAATATTTTAAAAATATCAATAATTAAACAATTATATTATAATATAAATTTTTTATTATAAATCTAAATTATAATTTATATAATAAAGAAAATTTTAATATATTAATAAATATTTATTTATTATAAATTTTAGTTATATAAAATAAAATTTTATTGTGTATATGGTAAAGGTTAAAATACTAATTTATTATAAATTTAAAATACAATTTATATATTTAAAATATCCTCTATTTCTATCAACTTATAAGAAAAATAGTACCTTTTTTGTTCGGTGACTCGTAAATTTTTTGAGGCCTGTCAAACACCGGAAGAAAATTGCCCCTAAAAAAATTCCTAAAAGTATATCTATATGTAATTTGTGATGTTTATGTAAGCAAACCAAATCACTTTTACGTCGATAATAACCCATATATAGATCAAGGCAGGCCCATTTAACTTGTTGATCAAATCACTTTTTCGTCGACATATATATTAAACAACATAGATAGTACATTTGAATAATTTTTTTTTAAAAAAAAAGCAACATAGACAAAGATGTTTCCTAAATTCTCTAAAGCCTATTTGTTTATTTAAGTTATTTTTTTATCTGTTTCTTTTTATTATTCATATGTATTATCTATAAATATTATAGGTAAGAATACAAAAAATTTCCTATTTAAATTAGTATCCTAGTTACAAGTTTTCACCTCCCTTCCAATCCATTTGTAAAATTTCAATTTTAACGATTTTAATAATCACTTCAATATAATTATTATTATTGTAATTATTATTATTGTAGTTATTACAATTATTATTTTCATTTCACCACATCCCACTACTTAATATTTAAATTTAAAACTTATCACTATTACAACTATTATTATCGTAATTATCATTATCACCGTATCACTATCACGGTAACATTATCACTTTTTTTTTTGTTTTTTTTGTTGCCAATTCATTTGTCATTTGCCACCATCACTACCCTCATCTTCATTATCTAAGATAAAATTAAGTAAAAAATAATTCGTACATTTTATATTTAAAATAATAAATAAATTTCAAAACTAAAAGGTAAACATTTGAAACTAAAATTGATAAAACTGAAATTACATTTAATATTTAGAAATTTATATAAAAAAAAACAAAACAAAAAAAAAAAAAACTAGCAATTATAATAAATAAGGCCTAAATAATAACACTTAAGTGAAGTTCTCAAAAAGAAAAAGACTATCACTAAAAATGAAAGCCACCATGAAGGTTGATCCTTAAAAAGGATAATAATGTTAAGAATCTTACATTAAATAAAATATGAAACTCTAAGGTGCTTGAATCTTGAGATTCTCCCATTTAATAGACTAATTTTTGGATAAGTTCTCATGTACTTAAACCCAACAAAATGCAACTTCACAATGCTTTTCTTCGTGCCTACCGTCCCACAAAAGAATTTGGGTATTCTTTCACATAATAAAAACCTCCCAGAAGAGTAATTTTTTGGGAGAGACAAAAACGAAAAAACCTAAATAAACGTCATCTTAATCTTATACAGAAAATTGAATTCTTAATTAGGTAACAGTTAATCTACAGTAAATTCGTCGTAGTCTACAAAAAAATCAAGGGGAAAATATATCTTCTCTATGCACTAGCACTAGCACCTGAACACCAATAAGCATCCCATATATTGATTACCACTGGTACATAAAAGTGATTTCCTCCGCCTGACCTTTCAACATCAAGAATCTAATTTGCTATTACTACATATTGTCAATTTGGCATTGATTTATCTAAACATAGAAATGCCACGACCTACGGATAATTAACTCTGCAAAAACAAACAAATAAATGTGCCATGAACTCTTACTTAGAAGCACCTACACCTGTCCCTCGTTTGAAGTTGGGCTCCCATTTGCAACACCAGCACTATTATCAACCATGGTAACATCTTCCACGCTGTTTTCAGGTGGCATATCTCCAGCCACGTGATTATCAACAGTTGTAGTTCCCTTGCTTTCAGGAGGCGTATCCACTGTTTGCTCACGCATATCAGTGTCTTCAGTCTGCTGCATATTTTGCACCTCATCTGTATTTTCTGATGGTTCTAAATGACTAAAATAAGGCCCATTTTGATGAAACTGGTGTCTCAACTTTTCCTGGAAATACAGAAAAAAAAATCATTGAAAAATAGAGCCAAGAAAATAATAGAAATCATTAAATGTAGAGGAATGCAAGAAACACTGATAGGATAAAGTAAAGATCAAGAAGCAGACAGAACAAAATGTACCAGTGCAAGAAAAAATTCCACTCAACAAAAGACCAAGATGTACTAAAAGAAGCCAGTTAAACAATACTATCCATCACAAGATGTAGCAATAAGTATCTCAGGAATATTTCTGGCATAACCTTTTAGCGAATGGAACATAATCCAGCAAAAATAAGAAAACTAGATATAACATTTACAGTTTTACACTCCTCCATTTGCCCAAAACCACTATAACAAATAGTAAAGAAAATTGCCTAACTGCAGGGACAACCCTTACAAACATAAAAAATTTAATGGATACAGAATAGAGCAAAACTCAGATGCTTGCGCAAGCTTTACACGGAAGATATAATAAAATTTGGACTGGGCAAACAGAAATGGTAAATTTTTAAAATGTAACAAGAACTAAATTGTAGTCAGAACATAAAATCCAGATATATTCCACAAGCAGGCAATATGATTCAACGCATATAGTTTATAGATTTCAAAATGCTTTATGGCCAAGAAGTAGCTAATCGATAACATGTCAATTTTCAATAATTAACGTTATATAGTTTTTGCTTTCTCAGCAAGAGAAACCTCTACAAAAGCGGAATTGTCATAAACAACATAAACCCTTACTAAACAGAATCTTAAGCAAAAGTTCATCAGAGATAACAAAAATGTCAAGAGATACAAGCTCAAAAGTCAAGATATAATATTGTGAAAGGCATACTTTTGATATCTGAATTAAGTGTAATATTCTAAATACAAGGTTATGGTAATTTAGATTATTCAACAAACTAGGTTGTTTATATACAATACTTTATTTGACAATATATTTTCATTCCTTTGTGAGTAGTTAATGTCAAACAATCTTCACTATTTATCCAATCACAATTTATATTTTGTAGGGTCGGACACTTGAGTCAAGTCAAAACTTCCATTTGCACAGACATTTCAAGAGCACTAGTATTATTATTAAAATAAAATATAAAAAAAACATTTGTTTTTATTTAACGTGCAGAAAAAACCAACTTATGTGGTGTCTTGTATATTTTGGACATTAGCCATGTCAGTGTGCATGCCCATGCTTCATATAAGTCAATAATTGGAATTTGATCTTATGTTTAATATGCCAAATCCAAATACAACAACCACCACCAGAACAATAAAGCCTTATCCCACTAGAAGAAGTCAGCTACTGGATCACACAATTCTATTTGGCTCAATTAAAGACCATGCTAAATCCAAAGACAAAATATAAATTATTTTTTCAACTTTTTTGATCCTTCTGCATCATAGGATAAGTTGACAAATTTTTAAACATGGATATGATTATAATCCCATTATGTAGGTGAACATGTGCATAGCTCATGGGACTTTCCTCTTGGAATTTCTTATCCTCCTTTTTTATATTCCAGCCTGTCTCATGATTCTTTTTTAGAAAAGTAAGTTCATATTTGAGAAAGAAAAAAAAAATTCTCTAGAGAACCAAAACAACAAAAAGAAACGAAATCCACTCAAATGGGAAAATGAAACAAGGAGAAAATGATATAAGGTGGCTTCAACTCACGTCTCTAACAATTCGTATTATATCTACACTGGTAAAATGCTTTATATATTTCATCCATCGGTAGAAATTAAGATCAAACAAAAAACCAGAGAAAATTCTCTCACCACTCTGACAACATGAAGACTCTTAGGTTGTATTTAGAAATTCAAAGAATTTGAAATTCTTCGAATTTAAATTACTTTAATTTCAATTTTCATCATTCATTAAATGTTACATTTGGATAAATCAATTCAAATTTCTCAAGTTTCAAATTTTTAGTTTGAGTAAGGCAATTTAATTTTCACATAAGCAAAATTGATTTTAATACACACGGGTGTGTGTGATTAAATATGTTTTTAGCACTTGAACTTTTGTCAATTTTCACTTTTAGTCTTAGACTTTTTCTCCTGTTAAAATTTTGGTCCCTAACATCAAAATTTGTTGTTCATGAAAGAAAATTTCAAGAATTAAAACCAAATAAAATTTGTTCAAAGACCAAGTGAAAATTGACAAAAGTTAAGGGATAAAAAATATTTAATCCACATATATAGAAATTTTAAGATTGAACTTCACAAAAATAAACATTAGCCAATTTTTAAATATTTAATAATTTAAAAATAATTTTAATATTAAATAATATTTAATAATTTAAACAAATATTCTTGAAATACAATAATTAAAAATACTACCTATGATCCTAATTATAAGTAACAAATTAGATTTTTCTGTGGTCCTAATTTTAAGCAACAATCTTAGTTTTTAAAATTACTTAAGGTTAAATTTCTTTTACACCCTTTATTATTAACTTTATTTCCTATGCATTCACTTATAAGTTATAACTAATATCAAATATAATCACTTAAAGTAAAGGGTATATTACGAATAAAATTTAAATTTATGATAGAATTAATTAAAAGTAACCATATTAATTACTTTTTTTGGTCTTAATGATTTGTACCACTTATAATTAA